GAGAATTATGATGTTTTGAGGACTTGAGGATTATGAAGTTCTGAGAATTTGAGTATTTTGATGTTTTGAGAATTTGAATCTTATGGTGTTTCGAGGATTTGACAGTTATGGTGTTTTGAGGATTTGAAGATTATGGTGTTTCGAGGATTTGAGGTTTATGTTGTTTTGACGATTTGAGAATTATGATGTTTTGAGGATTTGAGGATTATGTTTTGCTAATTTGAGAATTATGATGTTTAGAAGATTTAAGGATTATGGTGCTTTGAAGATTTGAGAATTATGATGATTTGAGGATTTGAGGATTATGGTGTTTTGAGGATTTGAGAATTATGATGATTTGATGATTTGGGGATTATGGTGTTTTGAGAATTTGAGAATTATGGTATTTTGAGGATTTGAGGACTATGATGTTTTAAGGATTTGAGGATTATGGTGATTTAAGGATTTGAGTAATATAGTGTTTTGATGATTTGAGGATTACGATGCTTTGAGGATTTGAGGATTTGAGAATTATGATGTTTTGAGGATTTGAGGATCATGGTGCTCTGAGGATTTGAATCTTATGGTATTTCGAGGTTTTTGACAATTATGTTGTTTTGAAGATTTGAGGATTGTGTTGTTTTGAGGATTTGGGCCTCATGGTGTTCTGGAAATTTGGGGATCATGGTGTTTCGACGATTCAACAGTTATGGTGTTTTGAGGATTTGAAGATTGTGATGTTTTGAGGATTTGAGATTTATGTTGTTTTGACGATTTGAGAATTATGATGTTTTGAGGATTTTAGGATTATGGTGTTTTGAGGATTTGAGGATTATTTTTTGCTGATTTGAGAATTATGATGTTTAGAGGATTTGAGGATTATGGTGTTTTGAGGATTTGAAAATTATAATGTTTTGAGGATTTGAGAATTATGGTGTTTTGAGGATTTGAGGATTATTATATGTTGATTTGAGAATTATGATGTTTAGAGGATTTGAGGATCATGGTGTGTTGAGGCTTTGAGGATTATGATGATTTGAGGATTTGAGGATTATGGTGTTTTGACGATTTGGGGATTCCGATGCTTTGAGGATTCAACAGTTATGGTGTTTTGAGGATTTGAAGTTTATGTTGTTTTAATGAATTGAGAATTATGATGTTTTGAGCACTTGAGGATTATGGTGTTTTGAGGATTTGAGGATTATGTATTGCTGATTTGAGAATTTTGATGTTTAGAGTATTTGAGGATTATGGTGTTTTGAGAATTTGAGAATTATGATAATTTGCGAATTACGATGCTTTGAGGATTTAAGGATTTGAGAATCATGATGTTTTGAGAACTTGAGGATCATGATGTTCTGAGGATTTGAGAATTTTGATGTTTTGAGGATTTGAGCATTATGTTGTTTTGCTGATTTGAGAATTATGATGTTTAAAGGATTTGAGAATTATGGTGTTTTGAGGATTTGAGAATTATGGTGATTTGAGGATTTGAGGATTGTGGTGTTTTGAAGATTTCAGGATGTGAGGATTATGATGATTTGTGGATTTGAGGATTATGGTATTTTGATGTATTTGTGGACTACGATGCTTTGAGAGTTTAAGGATTTGAGGATTATGGTGATTTGAGGATTTGAGAATTATGATGATTTGAGGATTATGGTGTTTTCAGTATTTGAGGATGTGAGGATTATGATGATTTGTGGATTTGAGGAATATGGTGTTTTGATGATTTGTGGATTACGATGCTTTGAGGATTTAAGGATTTGAGGATTATGATGATTTGAGGATTACGAAATTTTGAGGACTTTCGGATTATGGTGTTCTGAGGTTTTGAGGATTATGGTATTTCAAGAATTTGACAATTATGGTGGTTTGAGGATTTGAGAACTATGATGTTTTAAGGATTTGAGGATTATGGTGATTTAAGGATTTGAGTAATATAGTGTTTTGATAATTTAAGGATTACGATGCTTTGAGGATTTAAGGATTTGAGAATTATGATGTTTTGGGGACTTGAGGATCATGATGATCTGAGGATTTGAGAATTTTGATGTTTTGAGGATTTGAGGATCATGGTGTTCTGAGGATTTGAATCTTATGGTGTTTCGAGGATTTGACAATTATGTTGTTTTGAGGATTTGAGTATTGTGTTGTTTTGAGGATTTGGGGCTCATGGTGTTCTGGGGATTTGGGTATCATGGTATTCTGATGATTTGAGAATTATGATGTTTTGCGGATTTGAGGATCACGGTGTTTCGAGGATTTAAAGATTATGGTGTTTTGAGGATTTGAGGTTTATGTTGTTTTGACGATTTGAGGATTATGTTGTTTTAAAAATTTGAAGACATACAAATATTTTGGGAATTTGAGAATAATGTTGTTTCGAGGATTTGAGAATTATGACGTTTTGTCGGTTTGTTGTTTACAGTAATTTTAGGATTACGAAATTTTGAGATTTTGACGATTATGATGTTTTGGGATTTGAGGTTTATGGTTCTTTGGGGATTTGAGGATTATGGTGTTTTGAAGAATTGGGGATTATGGTGTTTTGAGGATGAGAGGATCATGGTGTTTGAGGATTTGAGTATCTTGATGTTTGGTAATTTTGAGGATTTAAGATAATCGCGACTTGAGTGTATGGAGGATTATGGGGTGTGGCGAGCTGAGAATTATGGTGTTTTGAAGATTTGAGGATTAAAGTATAATCCCCTAAAAGGTCGCACGCACAAATAGGTGGTTTTAAGGGTTGTCATGACCTAGAGATAGCTGGCTAATAAGAATCCTTCTAGTTCTATGAGATTCTTATTAAATATAGCTGTACAGGGATAAATAGATCAGTAGAACTACTTTTATTGTAACAATAAGTGTTTCTCACACAAGGTCATCGACTAGCGTAGCGAGCGTTAGGAGTGTGTTCCTCGAGTGTTAATCGATTGTGTGGAAATAATTGGAAATTATTTGTAAGTGAGGCATTAGATATATTGACTTGCATATCCTGTGGTTGGAGGCATAGTGTGTTCAGCTGCATTAGCAGTTGACATCAATTTGAGGTAAATCACAGGGTCGAGGTGGAGATTATCGGTGAGTTTACTTCAGCTGATAATTTCTTTTAACTGCTCTCGGAAAAAATTGTCATGAGACATTGTGGGCTGCCTATATCACTGTCAATTTAGTTTACAATATGAGTTCTCAAATTAATGATTTTCCAACAAAGGAACAAGCTATTATTGTTACAGCTGTCGATGGTTTGCAATTAAAAGATTATGTATCTGCAATTGCTGAAATTGTAGAACCTAAGAACATATTATTCGCATCGCGCTTGGCCAATAACCGAGTCTGCATTTACGTTAGTTCTGTAGCATTAGTAGATGAGGTTGTCACCAAATACTCTCAGTTATCAATTAATGATCTGATTGTTGGGGTACGTCGCTTGATAAATCCGGCACGCAGAATTATCTTATCCAATGTCTGCCCTTCGATTCCCCATGACGTGTTTATTAACCAAATTAAAACGCTTGGCTTTAACATTGTTTCTCCAATGTCGTTTTTGAAAGCGAGACTGGAGGGTGAAAATTACGCTCATATACGTAGTTTTCGTCGACAAATTTTTGTTCAACCCAATGACGATATCGAACTACCGGCCTCTCTCATAATTAAATATGATAATACCCCTTATAGAATATTTTACTGTTATGATAATGTTTGTTTCAAGTGCAGACAGGCTGGCCATCTTGCGAGTGAATGTGAAAAAGCTAGCAATTCGCACGAAACAACTGAGCTATCTGTTAATGTTCCTTCGGGAATGAGGCCGGGTGACGGAAACCACCCTGTTTCAGAGGTATCAGTGGAAGATAATCTTACGACTTCTTCTTCTATTAATAGTGAACCTACTGCTTCCGGTAGTAAGAGGCAGGTGACTTCCTCAAGTGACAATTCTCCTGATGTTATGGAGGGTCCGTTGGATTTTTCGCAGAAGAGTTTAGGTGAAGATAGACAACCTAAAAAGTTACGGTCAAGCGATTCACTTGAGAGTCTTACACCTATACCAGAACTTTTAGCTCCTGCAAAGGAATTAATCGAGGATTCAGGTTCACCGTTCCCTTTGAATTTTGACAATATTGCTGAGATTATGCAAAATATTTTCGAAGCTACAGATCCGATAGAATATGTTCAACGTTTTACCAATGATGTGGAAGGAGTCATTCAGATGTTGTATGAAATCTATCCCACGCTAACCAAGAAAAGCATAAAAAATCGATGCCTTAAAGTACTCAGGCCAGTTCTTGAGTTTGCCAATTACATCTGGTCTCCGATTCTTCAACGGGATATAGAGCTATTAGAATCTGTGCAAAGAAGGGCCACAAGAATTCCATTTGGTAGAATTCGGCCGCAGTATGCTGACAGACTTGTAATGATGGGTCTTCCAACGCTTTCCAATCGGCGTAAGAGAGGTGACCTAATTTTAACTTTTCGGGCGCTTAAAGATCCGCAATCACCCATCAGGCATTTGTTTCCCCTGAATACACTTAGTAGAACTAGAGGGCATTGTTTTAAACTAGTGAAGGATAAATTCCGCTCCACAGTGAGGCAACATTTTATTTCCAATAGAGTTTTCGAGACGTGGAACGCCTTACCAGCCAGTATTGTTGAAGCTGATACAGTGACAAATTTCAAAATTAAATTTGATAATTATAATGGATAAAATTAATTGGATTCGTTTGTTAGTTAGGTAGTTAGGTAGCGCGGGCATAACAGGCTAGGCCTCTGCCCGAACGCAAAACTAATAATAATAATAATAATAATAATAATGTTTCTGTTCCTTTGATTGACATTTGATGACAGTATGTAGAAGATGTTTCTGAAAGTATAGCTACTTGTTTTCAAGTTACGTTATGTAATATTTTTCCGCTACACAATTTTTTTTCTTTTAATTATCTAGAAAACCAATTTTGGATTAAAATAAATCCTCAATGAAATAATGCTCTATATTCTACTTTATTGTTTAGATATTTGCTTTTATTAATCCATTATATTTGTTGAAGTTTTCGTCGTTTCCATTACACCTTATGTTCCTATTCATGGGCGTGGTGTTTTTCGTGCGTTTGTTGGTGCTTTCCATGCTCTTGGTGGTGTTTTTCATGTTCTTGATGATGTTTTTCATGCCCTTGATGATGTTTTCCATGCCCTTGGTGGTGCTTTTCATGTCCTTGATGATGTTTTTCGTGCCCTTGATGATGTTTCTCATGCCCTTGATGATGTTTTTCTTGCCCATGATAAAACTTCCCGTGAATTCGATGTTTACCTATGATACACTTTTCATCAATTTGACAGTCCTAATTTACTTTGACCTACCTTGTGCCTTGTGGCGATCGCTAGGTTCTTTACCATCTGCTCCCTTCAAACCATTAATGTCGATTTCGCCGTATTCATTGCCATTGCCTTTTCCTTTATCACCGCCTTCGGTTGTGGGTTTTTCGCTGCTTCCTCCTTTTCCTTGATCACCTCCTTCGCTTGTGGGTTCTTCGTTGTTTCCTCCTTTTCCTTTATCACCCCCTTCGGTTGTGGTTTCTTCGCTGCTTCCTGGTTTTTCTTTATCACCTCCTTCGGTTGTGGGTCCTTCGCTGCTTCCTCCTTTTCCTTTATCATCTCCTTCCGTTGTGGGTTCCCCGCTGGTTCCTTCTTTTCCTGTACCATCTCCACCGCTTCCTTGATCACCACCCTGTGTTGAAGTCGGAAAAGTGACAGGTCCAACATTACCGCTGCTAGTCGATTCGGCATTTCCACTTTCCTTGGTTGTAGATCCACTTTGACCTGAAGATGAGCTTTCTGAACCAATCAAGGGTACAGGAGGTTCTTCATGTTTAGACGTTCCTTCGATTACCTCAGTTATTATTGCCCTGATTCCACCGCTAGCTCTATTTTCGAGTGCTTCTTCCACGGTTAGATGAATTGCGCTTGCTTTAAGTTCAACATCAACTGCTGCAACAGCCGAACTAAGTATTGGAATAGAAGCTAGTGCTTTCCCAGTTGGCGCCTTCCACAACTGATCGATTGTAACACCTCTGAGGATTGTCGTAAGAGCACTTGGACCAGCGTTCAAAATCTCTTCGCTTATTTGGACACCAGTAACTAAGCTAAGGACTTTGGCGCCGCCACGGAAAGTTAGAAGTTCGACGAAATGCAGCACCAAAGTGGAGACAGCAACTTGAATGGAAGTTTTTGCTTTCAGACAACTCAAAACGCGAATCACGAGTTTGAGTGAGTTTTTGCTAAGACCGTCGTCGATCTCTTGAAGGATTCCGCTTATGCTCACACCACTTTCGGGCCAATTGTGGTCTATAAGTTCCCGCAGAAGCTTGTGCACAACTTTCAGTGGTTTCTGGTACTTCGGTTTCTCAACTAGCTCGTTTAGATTTTTAACATCTGCCCTAAAGTCCGGGAATGCATCAGAGTTGTGTTTATTTTTGACTATAAAGTCTACCAAAACCTCAACTAAAATGTGTAAAGATTCTCGACCATGAGCGAAAAGTACAAGTTTTGAAATCACGTTGATGATGCCGTTCGCTCCAGTAGTAGAGTTTCCTGCTAAACTAGCAATCTGTTCTTCAACATCTACCGAAGTTTTCAAGGTTTGGGAAATGCGCTCAACGTCTGTTAGACTCAGCTCTTCCCAGATGTATCTAATAGCTCCAAGCGCTGATTTGGCGTTGAGCAAAACTTGCAAGTTGAGAGATACACGATGTTCTAATACATACTCGACACCAGGTGTGTTCTTTGCCCAGCTCGCCAAACCGTAGATCACCTCGATTAACCGATTCAAACTCGTGTTTGCGCTAAAGATACCAGGTTTGACGATTGCTATAACTGTTTTCAAAGCAACTGATAAATCTCTAGTTATGTCTATAAAAACGTCCCACGCTTCTGACACCGAAACTGTATATTGTCCCCCTGATATAAGAATCAAACCCTTCTGTATACATTCACTAGCCTCTTCCTTGCTAGTTTTTTTGCCTTGTTCAAATAGGGTCTGCAGTGAGATGTTATGTGTGATAACAAAGGGAAAGACTAGCTTGTGACCCCACTTGCTCAAGTCTATAGCCACGACAGTTTCGCTTACATAATTAACGATTAATCCCTCACCGGACGAATAATTTAAAAATCCGGCCAAGCTTGCTTTAACGTCTATTGCGAAACCTACTGTTGCTGAAGCGTTGGACACGTCCAGTATAGGATGCGGCGAACAAGCAATAGCGATATTTAGAGTTGTTTTTTTTCCTGGGGGAAGACATATATTTGTAAAACTATAAAGGAAATGCTGTATGGTTCATGCCTGAGGGTTCACAATTTTCGTTTTCGTCACTACCCTGATTCCGAGATGACAATGGTGATTTTGCTCTAGAATGGGCTAATCCCGCTGAATGAGTCTCATGGTGCCGATTTAAAATCTCTGCAAAAAAAGAAGAAAAATTCGATGTCTTTCCGGATTACCGATATTTATAACTTTTGAAGGCAAATTAAAAATTAAAATAAAATAATAATCTTACCATGGCCAAAAGTACTCAAAGAAAGACCACACAAAACCGTGACAATAAGTTGTTGCTTCATCTTTAACTGATTTAGCTTTGACAGTGAGTGAATTTATATACCCATAAGTGTATTCGTCATCAACAATTTAGCGAAAACTATTTTACAAATGTTTTAAAAAATATACATAGTTTTATAAAAATTTCCTCGATTTACATGTGCTTAAAGGATTGGTTTTTTTAAATGCAGTGTTGAGATTGTTGCTTTATCGCGTCAAGACATATTTGCAAATATCGGAATACCGATAAGTTTTTGTACGTAAGTAATAATAATAAATTCTTTCCAGTATATTTTTTGTGAGGATTTTTTGTTCAGCGTAATTACAAAAAAAAAACATATCGCTCGTTTAACAAGCAACACACTAACTTGAATCATTTTGTATTTGTAGAGAATATGTTATTCTATTTTCCAATCCTAAAACTAAGTACACAAACATTTTCCACATCTTTAAAAAAATATATTTTCAAATAAGAAAATTTTATTAGACTGATAATCTCAGAAACTACTGGACCTATTGTCAAATTTCGTGTGTTTTATAGGAATATTATGTGGATGGAAAAAACGCTAACCAAAATTTGTCTGCTCGTCGCGAATGTTATTTAAATTTTATGAAATAACAAAACAGATTTTTGGAAAATAAAATCAAAATTTTATAACATTTTGCAATTTAACTTTAAAAAAATCTTGCAAAATCGGATGCTTTGAAATCTTGCGAACGTTTTAATGTTATCGAAAGCAAGGTAAATCGCTAATTAAAGAACACCTTTCCTGTTTCTATTTTATAATTCCTTCCAGGAATTGATGATGTCGAATAAAGTTTATATTATTTAACGGTTCAAAAGTAATATGGACCTAAACTTGTGGTTTATGAATCCGATAAATTTTCGACTTCTCGGTTTCAGATTTTTTTGTTTGTAATATTTTTGATTTTGCATTTCTTAATTTTTCGATTTTTCAATTTTTCGTCATTGCAGTTTCTAAATTTTTCAGTTTTGCGATTCTTCGCCCTTTTGATTTTTCATGTTTCGATTTTTCGAAGAATTAACAAGAAAACAACTAAGAAACTACAAAAAAATCCAAGTAAAAAAATTTAAATATTGAAAAATCGAAGAATTGAGAAATCGAAATATCAAAATATCGAAAAAATAAAAAATTCAAAAATTAAACAACCGAAAATCCAAAATCCTAAATTTTTGATTTTAGATTTCCCTGTTGTCCGATTTTTCGATATTTTTGTTCTTCGATATTTCTATTTTTCAGTTTTTCGAACTTGCAAATTTTTGATTTTTCAGTTTATTCATGTTTCAATTTATCGACAATTCGATTTTTAAAATTTTTGAATTTTAGATTTCTCAGTTTTTCTGTTTTTAAATTTTTCAATTTTTCAGTCCCTCGATATTTCTATCTCTCAATTTTTCACGACTTTTCTATTTCTCAATCTTTTGATGTTTCCATTTCTCAAAATTTCAGTTTTTGCATTTTTCGATATTTCGATTTTTAATTTTCCTCATTTTCGATTTCCCAATTTTTGCTCATTTCAGTTTTGGAACTTTTCAGTTTCTCCATTTTTCAATTTTGCGGTTCTTCAATTTCCTTTTTTCATTTTTGATTTTTCGGAGGATTAACAAGAAAACAATTAAAAAACCTCAAGAATAATCTTTTTTATTTGGTGCGATTTAATGTACATTTGGTGAATCCTTCAGTTTTATCAGTCAACTAATGCAGTAGATTAATATTGATGCGACATACATGCTGATTTTGCAAAACCAACCTTATTGACATTGGAGTCCTCAACCGCCAAAGACAAGCGCCAAATTTAAATAGTCGATCCCAATAAAAAAACTGGTTTCACTTGAATATTTTTGGTACATATTTAGATGATTATACATATTTTGTTTAATTAAGAATTAATTCTTTATTTGTGTTTTATACTAGCAAAACGTCTTAAACTAAGAATATTGTTGAAATTGTAATAACCTGTATGAATTTTTAAATGTTTTTAGTGACAATTTTTGTGGTTCTTTTCGATACACTGTATGATATTAACAGTGAGAAAAAAATGAAAAATTAAAATAATCGAAAATTCGAAAAATCGAGAAATCTAATAAGCGAAAAATCGAAACCTCAAAAAATCGTAAAACTGAAACATTGCAAATTCGAAATATCGAAAAACTGAAAGTCGAAAAATGAACCACCAGAAAATCGAAAAAATGTAAAATTCAAAAATCTAAAGTTTAAAAACCGAATAACGAAAACATGAAAAAAGTGGAAAATCGAAAAACCGAGAAATCGAAAAATCAAAAGATCACAAAATCGTGGAGTCGAAAAGTCGAACCATTGAGAAATCGAAATTGAACAATTTATAAATTGAGAAGTTGACAATCAAAATATTGAAAATCCAAATCTCAATATATTGAGAAATCAAAAAACTTAAATATTCGAAAAATTGAAAAATTGAGAGATTGAAAGATCAAACGAACGAGAAATCGAAAAGTGATAAGTCGAAAAATTGAAAAATAGGGAAATCGACAAACAAAAAGTTAAAAGTTGAAAAATTGGAAAAGCGGAAAAATCAAAAAACGAAAAAATGCAAAACTGGAAAAACTGAGAAACCGAAATAGGCCAAAACAAAAAAATTGAAACTGATAAATCGAAAAGCTGAACAATCAAATCTCGATAAATCGAAAATTTGAAAAACAGAACATCTAAAACCAGAAAATCGAAAAATCGAAAGATTAAGAAATATTGAAAAATTAAAATATCAAAAGATTGAAAAATCTAAAAACGTAAAAAGGTAAACACATCGAAAAATCCAGAAGTCAAAATTAGAAGAGCCGAAGAATTGAAATATTGAAAAATGCTAAAACTGAAATATCTAAAAACTGAAAAATCGAAAAATCAAAAAAGTGAAATCGAAAAATAGAAACCTTAAAAAATCGAAAAATTGAAAAATCAAAAACCTGAAAAATCAAAAAACTAAAGAATTGAAGAGCAGGAAAATCGAAACACTCGAAGGTCAAGAAATGGGAAAATCATAACATCGATTGATTGAAAAATCGAAAAATTGAGAGTTTATGAACGTCAAATTTGAAAAATTAAAAAATCGAAAATTTGACAAAATGACAATTGCAAAACAGAAAATCTAAAACCGGGAAGTCGAAAAATCAAAAGATTAAGAAAGCGAAACATTTGAAAAATTCGAAAACTTGAAAAATTCAAATATCGAAGAACTGAATTGAAAAATCGAGAAATCGAAAAATCTAAAATTTTAAAAATTCAAAAATCGAAAATTTAAAAATCGAAAAATTGAATAATTGAAAAGTCGAAGAATCTAAATATTGAAATATCCCAAATCTGAGATATCGCAAACTGAAAAATGAAAGAAAAACTGAGAATCTAATAACCTGAAAATCCGAGAACTGAAATATCCAAAAACTGAGAACCTAAAAAGTCGAAAAATTGAGTAATCGAAAAATCCAAAAAGTGAAGTCGAAAAATCGAAACCTTACAAAAACTAAAAAATGAATAATCGAAAAATTAAAGAATTGAAGAACAGGAATATCGAAACCCTCGAAAATCAAGAAATGGGAAAATCAAAACATCGATTAATTGTAAAATCGAAAAATTGACAGTTTATAAATGTCAAATTTGAAAAATTGAGAAATCGAAAATTTGAAAAAACGACAATTGAAAAACAGAAAATCTAAAACCGGGAAGGCGAAATATCAAAAACATGAAAAACGGAAATATCGAAGAACTGAAATGAAAAATCGAGAAATCGAAAAATCTAAAACTTTAAATATTGAAAAATTAATATATCAAAAAACGAAAAAATGGAAAACTGGAAAAACTGAGAAACCGAAATAGGCCAAAATGAAAAATTGAAAAACTGATAAATCGAAAACCTGAACAATCAAATCTCGATAAATCGGCAATGAAAAATTAACAAATCGAAAAATTGAAAAACGGAACACCTAAAACCAGAAAGTCGAAAAATAGAAAGATTAAGAAATATTGAAAAATTAAAATATCAAAAGATTGAAAAATCTAAAATTTAAAAATCCTAAAATTGAAAAAATCGAAAAAGTAAAAAGGTAGACACATCGAAAAATCCAGAAGTCAAAAATAGAAGAGCCGAAGAATTGAAATATTCAATAATCCTAAAACTGAAATATGTAAAAACTGAAAAATCGAAAAATCAAAAAAGTGAAGTCGAAAAATAGAAGCCTTAAAAAATCGAAAAATTGAAAAATCAGAAACCTGAAAAATCAAAAAATTAAAGAATTGAAGAACAGAAAAATCGAAACACTCGAAGGTCAAGAAATTGTAAAATCAAAACATCGATTGATCGAAAAATCAAAAAATTGAGAGTTTATGAAACTCAAATTTGAAAAATTAAAAAATCGAAAATTTGACAAAATGACAATTGAAACCGAAAAATCAAAAGATTAAGGAAGTGAAACATCTGAAAAATCCGAAAAAGTAAAATAATCGACACATCGAAAAACCCAGGAGTCAAAAATCGAAAATTTCGCAAACAGAAAAGTGAAAGAAAAACTAAGAATCTAATAACCTGAAAATCCAAAAATTGAAATATCCAAAAACTGAGAACCTAAAAAGTCGAAAAATTGAGTAATCGAAAAATCCAAAAAGTGAAGTCGAAAAATCGAAACCTTAAAAAAACTAAAAAATGAATAATCGAAAAATTAAAGAATTGAAGAACAGGAATATCGAAACCCTCGAAAATCAAGAAATGGAAAAATCAAAACATCGATTCATTGTAAAATCGAAAAATTGACAGTTTATAAATGTCAAATTTGAAAAATTGAGAAATCGAAAAAATGAAAAAACGACAATTGAAAAACAGAAAATCTAAAACCGAGAAGTCGAAAAATCGATAGATTAAGAAATCAAAACATTTGAAAAATTTGAAAACATCGAAAACGGAAATATCGAAGAACTGAAATGAAAATTCGAGAAATCGAAAAATTTTAAATTTTAAATACTGAAAAATTAAAATATCAAAAAACTGAAAAATCTAAATTTTAAAAATCGAAAAATTGAAAAAACGACAATTGAGAAACAGAAAATCTAAAACCAGGAAGTCGAAAAATCGAAAGAATAAGAAATCGAAACATTTGAAAAATTGAAATACCAAAAAATTGAAAAACCTAAAATTTAAAAATCGAAAAAGTAGAAACTCGACATATCGAAAAATCCAGAACTCAAAAATGGAAAAGTCGAAGAACAGAAATATAGAAAAATCCCAAAACTGAAATATCGAAAAACTGAAAATTCAAAGAAAAACTGACGAATCGAAAAATTGAGAAATCGAAAAATCCAAAAAGTGAAGTCGAAATATTAAAACCTTAAAAAAATCTAAAAATTGAAAAATCAAAAACCTGCAAAATCGTAAGACCGAATAATTAAATAATAAGTAAACTGAAAAATCCCAAAACTGAAATGTCCAAAAACTGAGAAATTAAAAAATTTAAAAATTGAGAAATCGAAAAATCAAAAAAGTGAAGTTGAAAAATCGAAACCTGAAAAAATAGAAAAATTGAAAAACCAAAAAACCTGAAAAATCAATCAATTGAAAAATCGACAAATAAAGAGTGTATAAAAGTCAAAAATTGAAAAATCGATATATTTAAAAATCGTAAAATTGAAGAGAAAAACTGAAAACCGAGAAATTGAAAAATAGAGAAATTTTTGTAAAAATCTAAAAATTGAATAATAAATAGGAGTAAACTGAAAAGTCCCCAAACTAAACTTTCGAAAAACCGAGAATTCGAAAGTTGAAACAGCAAGAAATATTGGTCGAAACCGGTTAGGATGTGTATCAGACTACGGATCATGACTTATAAATCAAATGGTTTCCAAACGCTTAGAGTCGACATTGGCCTGATTGCGCTCTGGTCTGTAGATCAAACAAGTTCTCAGACGACGAACTGTAATTCGTGTGACCTGAATTAAAGTGAAGGAAACAGTAAGCAGCTTGTAATATTCTGGTAACTTTAGTGTCAAATTGTCGAAAGTAAAACGCGTCGTTAAATATATTTCCATGACACACGTTATGTTACATAATATTCTTCCATTACACAACTTACTTTTTTTAATTATTATCTAAAGAACCAATTTTGCAAAAAATAAATCCTCAGTAAAATAATGCTCAATATTCTACTTTATTGTCAAAACAATATTTGTTTTCATTAATCCATTATGTTTATTGAAATTTTCGTCATTCCCATCACACCTTATGTTCCTTTTCATGGGTGTAGTGTTTTTCATGCGTTTGATGGTGTTTTTCATGCCCTTGGTGGTGTTTTCCATGCTCTTGGTGGTGTTTTTCGTGCCCTTGATGATGTTTTCCATGCCCTTGATGATGTTTTTCGTGCCCTTGATGATGTTTCTCATGCCCTTGATGATGTTTTTCATGCCCTTGATGATGTTTTCCATGTCCTTGATGATGTTTTCCTTGCCCTTGGTAAAACTTCCCGTGACTTGCATGTTTATCTATGGTACATTTTTCATCATTTTGACAATTCTCATATTACTTTGACCTACCTTGTGCCTTGTGGCGATCGCTAGGCTCTTTACCATCTGCTCCCTTCAAACCATTAATATCGATTTCGCCGTATTCGTTGCCATTGCCTTTTCCTTTATCACCTCCTTCGGTTGTGGTTTCTTCGCTGCTTCCTCCTTTTCCTTTCTCACCTCCTTGGGTTGTGGGCTCTTCGCTGCTACCTCCTTTTCCTGTACCATCTCCACCGCTTCCATCCTGCGTTGGTGTCGAAGAAGGTCCAACATTATCGTTGCCACTCGATTCGGTATTTTCACTTTTCTCGGTGGTAGACTCACTTTGACCTGAAGATGAACTTTCTGAACCAATCAAGGGTACAGGAGGCTCTTCATGTTCAGACGTCCCTTCGATCACTTCAGTTATTATTGCCCTGATTCCACCGCTAGCACTATTTTCGAGCGCTTCTTCAACGGTTAGATGAATTCCGCTGACTTTAAGCTGAGCATTAATTGCTACAACAGCCGGACCGATTACTGGAATAGAAACTAGTGCTTTCCCAGTTGGTTCCTTCCACAACTGATCGATTGTAACGCCTCTGAGAATTGTCGTAAGAGCACTTGGACCAGCTTTCAAAATCTCTTCGCTTATTTGGACACCAGTAATTACGCTAAGGACTTTGGCGCCACCACGGAAAGTTAGAAGTTCGACGAAATGCAGCACCAAAGTGGAGACAGCAACTTGAATGGAAGTTTTTGCTTTCAGACAACTCAAAACGCGAATCACGAGTTTGAGTGAGTTTTTGCTAAGACCGTCGTCGATGTCTTGAAGAATTCCGCTTATGCTCACACCACCTTCGGCCCAATTATGGCTTATAAGTTCCTGCGCCAGCTTGTACACAACTTTCAGTGGTTTCTGGTACTTAGGTTTCACAATTAATTCGTTTATATTTTTAACGTCTGCCCTAAAGTCCGGGAATGCATCAGAGTTGTGTTTATTTTTGGCTATAAATTCTACCAAAACTTCAATTAGCATATGTAAAGATTCTCGACCATGAGCGAAAAGTACAAGTTTTGAAATCACGGTGATGATGCCGTTCGCCCCAGTAGTAGAGTTTCCTGCTAAACTAGCAATCTGTTCTTCAACATCTACCGAAGTTTTCAAGCTTTGAGAAATGCGTTCGAGGTCTGCTGGACTCAACTGTTCCCAGATGTATGAAATAACTCCAATCGCTGATTTGGCGTCAAGCAAAACTTGCAAGTTGAGAGATACCCGATGTTCTAACACAAACTCAACATTAGGTGTGTTCTTAATCCAGCTCGCCAAACCGTAGATCGCTTCGATTAACCGGTTCAAACTCGTTTTTGCGCTAAAGGTACCAGGTTTGATGATTGGTATAACTGTTTTCAAAGCAAATGATAAAGCTCTAGTTATGTCTATAAAAACGTCCCACGCTTCTGACACCAAAACGGCATATTGTCCCCCTGATAGAAGAATCAAACCCTTCTGTATACATTCACTAGCCTCTTCCTTGCTAGTTTTTCTGCCTTGATCAAACAGGTTCTGCAGTGAGATGTTCTGTCTGATAAGAAAGGGAAAGACTAGCTTGTGACCCCACTTGCTCAAGTCTATAGCCACGACAGTTTCGCTTACATAATTAACGATTAATCCCTCACCGGACGAATAATTTAAAAATCCGGCCAAGCTTGCTTTAACGTCTATCCCGAAAGCTACTTTTGCTGAAGCGTTGTACACGACCAGTATAGGATGCGGCGAACAAGCAATAGAAATATTTAGAGTTGTTTCTTTTCCTGGGGGAGTACCTACATTTGTAAAAATATAAAGGAAATGTTTTATGGTTAATACCTGAGGGTTCACAATTTTCGTTTTCGTCACTACCCTGATTCCGAGATGACAATGGTGATTTTGCTCTAGAATGGGCTAATTCCGCTGGATGAGTCTCATGGTGCCGATTTAAAATCTCTGCAAAAAAGGAAGAAAAATTCGATGTCTTTCCGGATAACCGATATTTATAATTTTTGAAGGTAAATTAAAAATTAAAATAAAGTAATAATCTTACCATGGCCAAAAGTACTCAAGGAAAGACCACACAAAACCGTGACAATAAGTTGTTGCTTCATCTTTAACTGATTTAGCTTTGACAGTGAGTGAATTTATATACTCACAAGTGTATTCGTCATCAACAATTTAGCGAAAACTATTTTACAAATGTTTTAAAAAATATACATAGTTTTATAAAAATTTCCTCGATTTACATGTGCTTAAAGGATTGGTTTTTTTAAATGCAGTGTTGAGATTGTTGCTTTATCACGTCAAGACAAATTTGCAAATATCGGAATAGCGATAAGTTTTTGTACGTAAGTAACAATAAATTCTTTCCAGTATATTTTTTGTGAAGATTTTCTGTTCAGCGTAATTACAAAAAAAAACATATCTCTAATGCTCGTTTAACAAGCAACACACTAACTTGAATCTTTTTGTATTTGTAGAGAATATGTTATTCTATTTTCCAATCCTAAAACTAAGTACACGAACATTTTCCACATCTTTAAAAAAATATATTTTCAAATAAGAAAATTTTATTAGACTGATAATCTCCGAAACTACTGGACCTATTGTCAAATTTCGTGTGTTTTATAGGAATATTATGTGGATGGAAAAAACGCTAACCAAAATTTGTCTGCTCGTAGCAAATGTTATTTAAATTTTATGAAATAACAAAACAGATTATTGGAAAATAAAATCAAAATTTTATAACATTTTGCAATTTAACTTAAAAAAATCTTGCAAAATCTAATGCTTTGAAATCTTGCGAACGTTTTAATGTTATTGAAAGCAAACTAAATCACTAATTGAAATCCATCCTTCCTGTTTTTATTTTATAATTCCTTCCGGGAATTGATGACGTCGAATCAATATTATTTAAAGGTTAAAAAGTAACATGGACCTAAACTTGTCGTTAATGAATCCGATAAATTTTCGACTTCTCGGTTTCAGATTTTTCTATTTTTAAATTTTTTGATTTTTGGATTTCTCAATTTTTGGATTTTTCAGTTTTTATTTCTAAATTTTTCGATTTTTCAGTCCCTCGATATTTCTATTTCTTAATTTTTCACGACTTTTCTATTTCTCAATCTTTTCATGTTTCGATTTCTCAATGTTACAGTTTTTGCGTTTTTCGATATTTCGATTTTTCATTTTTCTCATTTTTCGATTTCCCAGTTTTTTCTCATTTCAGTTTTGGAACTTTTCAGTTTCTCGATTTTTCAATTTTGCGATTCTTCAATTTCCTTTTTTCATTTTTGATTTTTCGGGCCAAATTTAATTAGTCGATCCCAATAAAAAAACTTGTTTCACTTGAATATTTTTGGTACATATTTAGATGATTTTACATATTTTGTTTAACTAAGAATTAATTCTTTATTTGTGTTTTATACTAGCAAAACGTCTTAAACTAAGAATATTGTTGAAATTGTAATAACCTGTATGAATTTTTAAATGTTTTTAGTGACAATTTTTGTGGTTGATTTCGATACACTGTATGATATTAACAGTGAGAAAAAAAATTAAAAATTAAAATAATTGAAAACTCGAAAAATCGAGAAATCTAATAAGCGAAAAATCGAAACCTTAAAAAATCGTAAAACTGAAACATTGCAAATTCGAAGTATTGAAGAACTCAAAGTCGAAAAATGAACCACCAGAAAATCGAAAAAATGTAAAATTCAAAAATCTAAAATTTAAAAACCGAATAACGAAAACATCGAAAAACCGAGAAATCGAAAAATCCAAAGATCAAGAAATAGTGGAGTCGAAAAGTCGAACAATTAAGAAACCGAAATAGGCCAAAATCGAAAAATCGAAATGTTAAAAATTGAACAATTTATAAATTGAGAAGTTGACAATCAAAATATCGAAAAATTCAAATCTCAATAAATCGAAAAATCAAAAAACTTAAAAATTCGAAAAACTGAAAAATTGAGAGATTGAAACATCAAAAGAACGAGAAATCGAAAAGCGATGAAGTCGAAAAATCGAAAAATCGGGAAATCGACAAACAAAAAGTTAAAAGTTGAAAAATTGGAAAAGCGGAAAAATCAAGAAACGAAAAAATGGAAAACTGGAAAAACTGAGAAACCGAAATAGGCCAAAATAAAAAATTGAAAAACTGATAAATCTAAAACCAGAAAATCTAAAAATCGAAAGATTAAGAAATATTGAAAAATTAAAATATCAAAAAATTGAAAAATTTAAAATTTAAAAATACAAAAATTGAAAAATCGAAAAAGTAAAAAGGTAGACACAGCGAAAAATCCAGAAGTCAAAAATAGAAGAGCCGAAGAACTGAAATATTGAAAAATCCTAAAGTGAAATATCTAAAAACTGAAAAATCGAAAAATTAAAAAATTGAAGTCCAAAAACAGAAACCTTAAAAAATCGAAAAACTGAAAAATCAAAAACTGAAAAATCAAAAAACTACTAAAGAATTGAAGAGCAGGAAAATCGCAACACTCAAAGGTCAAGAAATGGCAAAATCAAAACATCGATTGATTGAAAAATCGAAAAATTGAGAGTTTATGAAAGTCAAATTTGAAAAATTAAAAAATCCAAAATTTGACAAAATGGCAATTAAAAACAGAAAATCTAAAACCGGAAAGTCGAAAAATCAAAAGATTAAGAAAGTGAAACATTCGAAAAATTCCAAAATTTTAAAAATTAAAAAATCGAAAATTTACAAATCGAAAAATTGAATAATTGAAAAGTCGAAGAATCTAAATATTGAAATATCCCAAATCTGAGATATCGCAAACTGAAAAATGAAAGAAAAACTGAGAATCTAATAACCTGAAAATCCGAAAACTGAAATATCCAAAAACTGAAAACCTAAAAAGTCGAAAAATTGAGCAATCGAAAAATCCAAAAAGTGAAGTCGAAAAAACGAAACCTTAAAAAACTAAAACATGAATAATCGAAAAATTAAAGAATTGAAGAATAGGAATATCGAAACCCTCGAAAATCAAGAAATGGGAAAATCAAAACATCGATTAATTGTAAAATCGAAAAATTGACAGTTTATAAATGCCAAATTTGAAAAATTGAGAAATCGAAAATTTGAAAAAACGACAATTGAAAAACAGAAAGTCTAAAACTGAGAAGTCGAAAAATCGGTAGATTAAGAAATCAAAACATTTGAAAAATTCGAAAACATCAAAAACGGAAATATCGAAGAACTGAATGAAAAATCGAGAAATCGAAAAATTTTAAATTTTAAATACTGAAAAATTAAAATATCAAAAAACTGAAAAATCTAAACTTTAAAAATCGAAAAATTGAAAAAACGACAATTGAAAAACAGAAAATCTAAAACCGGGAAGTCGAAAAATCGAAAGAATAAGAAATCGAAACATTTGAAAAATTGAAATACCAAAAAATTGAGAAACCTAAAATTTAAAAATCGAAAAAGTAGAAACTCGACATTTCGAAAAATCCAGAACTCAAAAATGGAAAAGTCAAAGGCACGGTGTATAATAAGTTAGGTGTTACGACGAAGCGTATTCACCGTGCATTGACTTGACGCCGGTTTAGTCACGATGAGCGGTCGAGAGAGACAGACAGCGGCGGCCTGTAACCTCTCACTTAGATCTGTTTAGCAGCGTTTGGCGGGCTTTTTCCCTCTCTAGGTGTGACAGATTTTGCTAGGTTTTCTCTGCGGTTTCTTACTTGTTTTTTGATTTATCAATAAAAATGGGTAGAAAATGTGTTGTGCCTAATTGTTCTAGCGGATACAATGGTAATCCCGAAAAAGTGTCGGTGTTTCGGGTACCTAAAGACAGATTACTGAAATGGCACTTTTATTGCAGTAGTGAACTGCTGCTTTTGAACAACACTTTGCACTAAAAAATACTGGTCGTCGCTATAGTAATAGTAGGCATTTTATGTTGAATTTTATTTTTACTTAAAACAATTACTTCCTTTTTATCGGTTATGTGTTATGTTTTAACATTCAAGAAACAGAATTTATGTTTATTTTCAGAGGGTTTTTGAATGCGACATGTATTTTTTCTTTATTCCACATAAACTATATTTTTTGCAGAGATTTTTCGGTACAATTCGACAAGCAGGTTGTGCCAATGGACATCCCTTATCTATAACTCTTTGCAGGTATACCGAATGTTATCGGTTTATAAATTATTAAAACCTCCGAAATTTGGTAATTGCACACAGATGCAGGAAAATAGTAATGCAAATCATTCGTTATCATTTAATGACTCCAAAAATATTTTTGAAACAAATACCAGACTGCGGGAAAAATCATTTTGAGAAAATAAAAAGGAAAATTGAATATATTTTAGATACAGATTCACCGATTAACGAAATAGACGAACAACTATTTGAAGATGTCACTACAACTAAAATTGTTGACAATATCATTTATTACTTAGCTGGATTTGTCGCAAAAAAAATTGTACAATACTTCAAAATGTAATATTTGCCGTGAACAGTTATATAACAAAGAAGATCCATATTCTAGTACATCTGAATTTACTATGTAGTACAAAATCCAGGGGGTGGTTAAACCATCCATATTTGTTAATGTTTAATATGTTCCGATGGGTGGAAGGGATACTTATGAAATATATCGATTTTGTGGATGTATTCGATGCAACAATTGAAGAGCTATTCGCAACAAAAGTTTTTATGACTATTTACTTTCCTTTTTCTTGTGAAGAGCATAGAATGGAAATATTTTCAAAGCCAATATATTTTTACACAATTATGCAAATTAAACAATTTTATAAACAGGAACAAGACAAAACAACCAAGGCATGTGCAGAAAAAAGGAAAGAGTCTCGATTACAGACTACATAATAATGGTAAATTTTTATTTCTCAAATAGTAAAGCAGATAATGGTTAATGGACATTTTTTAGTTGTCTTGTGAAACGAACAGAAGTGAGTGATACTAATATAATATGTGAAGGCGAAAAGAACTATCTTTAACAACGAGTTTGCATTCATCTTTTTAATTAAATTATTATTTTAAAAATGTTTAAAGTTTTTATTTTAATACAACGGATAATTAATTTTGATGATTTTTGGACCTAAATGGGTTTAATTCCGACAAATACTTCTCCCGTCTCTTTCCCGTCCGTGCGATTAAATGATGGCCGCCCTCTTCTGTTTCTCTCACTCCAAATCTGTGACTAGTTGGGGACACGTTTCACGCGCTCGTCGGAACACCGTGGTCAAAGGACAGAAATATTGAAAAATCCCAAAACTGAAATATCGAAAAACTGAAAAATGAAAGAAAAACTGACGAATCGAAAAACTGAAAAATCCCAAAACTGAAATATCCAAAAACTGAGAACCTAAAGAATCGAAAAAATGAGAAATCGAAAAATCCAAAAAGTGAAGTCGAAATATCGAAACCTTGAAAAAATCGAAAAATTGAAAAATCAAAAACCTGCAAAATCGTAAGATCGAAAAATTGAATAATAAGTAAACTGAAAAATCCCAAAACTGAAATGTCCAAAAACTGAGAAATTAAAAAATTGAAAAATTGAGAAATCGAAAAAGCAAAAAACCTGAAAAATCGACAAATAAAGAGTGTATAAAAGTCAAAAACTGAAAAATCGAAATATTTAAAATTCGTAAAATTGAAGAGAAAAACTGAAAACCAAGAAATTGAAAAATTGAGACATTGTAAAATCCAAAAATTGAATAATAAATAGGAGTAAACTGAAAATTCGAAAGTTGAAACAGCAAGAAATTATGGTCGAAACCGTTTAGGATGTGTATCAGATCACGGATCATGGCTTATAAATCAAATCGTTTCCGAACGCTTAGAGTCGACATTGGCCTGAATGCGCTCTGGTCTGTAGATCAAATAAGTTCTCAGACGACGAACTGTAATTCGTGTGACTTGAATTGAAGTGAAGGAAACAGTAAACAGCTTATAATATTCTGGTAAATTTAGTGTCGAAAGTAAAACGCGTCGTTAAAAATATTATGACATTTTTTCTATTGTAGTTAATTTTATTCCTATTTAGAAACAAACACTGTTGCCAACATAAGTCGAGGAGTCCTATGTCTATGTTCTCTGGCAAGGTGTTCGGATTTTTAGGGAAATCAGTATATTTGATAACCGTATGTAGAAGATAATTCTGAAAGTAGCGCTACGTTAAATATATAACGTTATGTTACATAATATTCTCCCATTACACAACTTACTTTTTTTAATTATTATCTAAATAACCAATTTTGCAAAAAATAAATCCTCAGTAAAATAATGCTCAATATTCTACTTTATTTTCAAAAAAATATTTGTTTTCATTAATCCATTATATTTATTGAAGTTTTCGCCATTCTTATCACACCTTATGCTCCTTTTCATGGGTGTGGTGTTTTTCGTGGGTTTGATGGTGTTTTCCATGCCCTTGGTGGTGTTTTTCGTGTCCTTGATGATGTTTTCCATGCCCTTGATGATGTTTTTCGTGCCCTTGATGATGTTTTTCGTGCCCTTGATGATGTTTTTCATGCCCTTGATGATGTTTCTCATGCCCCTGACGATGTTTCTCATGCCCCTGATGATGTTTTCCATGTCCTTGATGATGTTTTCCTTGCCCTTGGTAAAACTTCCCGTGACTTGCATATTTATCTATGGTATATTTTTCATCATTTTGACAATTCTCATATTACTTTGACCTACCTTGTGCCTTGTGGCGATCGCTAGGTTCTTTACCATCTGCTCCCTTCAAACCATTAATGTCGATTTCGCCGTATTCGTTGCCATTGCCTTTTCCTTTATCACCTCCTTCGGTTGTGGTTTCTTCGCTGCTTCCTCCTTTTCCTTTGTCACCTCCTTGGGTTGTGGGCTCTTCACTGCTTCCTCCTTTTCCTGTACCATCTCCACCGCTTCCATCCTGCGTTGGTGTCGAAGAAGGTCCAACATTATCGTTGCCACTCGATTCGGTATTTTCACTTTTCTCGGTGGTAGACTCACTTTGACCTGAAGATGAACTTTCTGAACCAATCAAGGGTACAGGAGGCTCTTCATGTTTAGACGTCCCTTCGATCACTTCAGTTATTATTGCCCTGATTCCACCGCTAGCACTATTTTCGAGCGCTTCTTCAACGGTTAGATGAATTCCGCTGACTTTAAGCTGAGCATTAATTGCTACAACAGCCGGACCGATTACTGGAATAGAAACTAGTGCTTTCCCAGTTGGTTCCTTCCACAACTGATCGATTGTAACGCCTCTGAGAATTGTCGTAAGAGCACTTGGACCAGCTTTCAAAATCTCTTCGCTTATTTGGACACCAGTAATTACGCTAAGGACTTTGGCGCCCCCACGGAAAGTTAGAAGTTCGACGAAATGCAGCACCAAAGTGGAGACAGCAACTTGAATGGAAGTTTTTGCTTTCAGACAACTCAAAACGCGAATCACGAGTTGGAGTGAGTTTTTGCTAAGACCGTCGTCGATGTCTTGAAGGATTCCGCTTATGCTCACACCACCTTCGGCCCAATTATGGCTTATAAGTTCCTGCGTCAGCTTGTACACAACTTTCAGTGGTTTCTGGTACTTAGGTTTCACAATTAATTCGTTTATATTTTTAACGTCTGCCCTAAAGTCCGGGAATGCATCAGAGTTGTGTTTATTTTTGGCTATAAATTCTACCAAAACTTCAATTAGAGTATGTAAAGATTCACGACCATGAGCGAAAAGTACAAGTTTTGAAATCACGGTGATGATGCCGTTCGCCCCAGTAGTAGAGTTTCCTGCTAAACTAGCAATCTGTTCTTGAACATCTACCGAAGTTTTCAAGGTTTGGGAAATGCGTTCGAGGTCTGCTGGACTCAACTGTTCCCAGATGTAAGCAATAACTCCAATCGCTGATTTGGCGTCGAGCAAAACTTGCAAGCTGAGAGATACCCGATGTTCTAATACAAACTCAACATTAGGTGTGTTCTTTACCCAGCTCGCCAAACCGTAGATCACTTCGATTAACCGGTTTAAACTCGTTTTTGCGCTAAAGGTACCAGGTTTGATGATTGGTATAACTGTTTTCAAAGCAATGGATAAAGCTCTAGTTATGTCTATTAAAACGTCCCACGCTTCTGACACCAAAACGGCATATTGTCCTCTTGATAGAATAATCAATGCCTTCTGTATACATTCACTAGCCTCTTCCTTGCTAATTTTTTTGCCTTGATCAAACAGGGTCTGCAGTGAGATGTTCTGTCTGATATTAAAAGGAAAATCTAGCTTATGGCCCCACTTGCTCAGGTCAACAATCACGGCTGTTTCGGTTGCATAATTGATGAGTATTCCCTGACCGGACGAATGATTTAAAAATCCAGCTAGTTTTTCTTTAGCATCTATCCCGAAAGATACATTGGCTGAGGCGTCTAGCAGGTCCAGTATAGGATGCGGCGAACAAGTAACAGAGATATTTAGAGTTGTTTCTTTTCCTGGAGAAGGACCTGTATTTGTAAAAATAGAAAGGAAATGCTTTTTGGTTATTACCTGTGGGTTCACAATTTTCGACTTCGCCACTACCCTGATTCCGAGATGACAATGGTGATTTTGCTCTAGACTGCGCTGGATGAGTCTGATGGTGCCGATTTAAAATCTCTGCAAAAACACAAAAATGATATTTCTGTATCAAAATCTGTCTCTCAGATTAAGCAACATTGAAACAAATAACTTGAGACACTCAGTAGAGTCGCGTTTAGTACCAATTTATACTTTGTGAAGGTAAATTAAAAATCAAAATAAAACAATAATCTTACCATGGCCCAGAGTCAATGAAAGACCACACAAAACCGTGACAATAAGTTGTTGCTTCATCTTTAACTGGTTTAGCTTTGACAGTGAGTTAATTTATATACACACAAGTACAGTCGTCATAAACAATTAACGAAAACTATTTTACAAATGTTCTAAAAAATATACATAATTTTGTAAACATTTCCTCGATTTACATGGATGCCAGGTTTTTTCAAATGCAGTGTTAAGGTTGTTGTTTTATCACGTCAAAACAAATTTTCAAATATCGGAATACCGATATGTGGGTACATAACAATCAATTCTTTCCAGTACATTTTTTGTGAGGAATTTGTGTTCAGCGTTATTACAAAAAAAAATAACATAACTCTAATGCTCGTGTAGCAAGCAACAAACTGATTTAAATATTTTTTTATTTGTATAGTAGGTGTCGTGGTATTTTCCAAGTCTCAAACTACGAGTACTTGAACATTTTCCACATCTTTAAAAAATATATTTTCAATTTCAAGTAAAAAAAAAATATTTTGCTCAATGCTGTTGAGTTGTTGTGAAACTTTTACCCCACTAGTGCATAAAACATCAATACCTAATTTTCCTAACCTACTTACCTTACTTCAAGTAGTAGCAACGAAACTAATAAGGGACTAGTAATAGTTTTCATTGGAACACGCCACTTTCATGTTTTCTCGACGTTTCATGATTTCCGGAACATGTAAAAATTGGTCTCCCTTTCCGTCTGCCTGAAGTCTGTCGGGATTTTTATTCGACAGATAATCTCCGAAACTACCGAACCGATTATTGTAAAATTTTCTATGTTTGTTTGAAATATCGTGATTCATGTATGTAGTTGGTAAAAACGCTAACCAAAATTTTTCTGCTCATCCCCACCAACAATGGAATAACGTCATATCCGAATTTTACAAATATACCTTTAGCATCCAGATTTCTGGAAAATAAAATCAAAATTGTGTGACATTTCGTAATTTAAGTTTAAAATTGCGAAATCGAAAGCAAGGTAAATGGTAAAACAAAATGTATCCGTTAATTTATCCGTTCATCTCCCCCCAGAAATTGCCATTATCTTACAATTTTGTCGAATAAAGACTGTTTAAATGTTAAAAAGTAACATAGTGGGGAATTTCTGGTTTACGAATCCGTGTTGAATTTTTATTTTAATTTTTCAATTTCTCGATTTTCGATTTTTTAATATTTCAGTGTTGAAATTTCAAATCGTCGGTTCTTTCGTTTTTTAATTCTTCAAATTTTCGATTTCTCGATTTTTTCGTCTTTCGATTTCTCGAGAATTCGATGTTTCAATTTTTTATTTTCCAATTCCTCGATGATTGGATGTTTTAATTTTTCGTTTCTCAAGTTTTTACATTCTTGATTTTAATTTTTCATTTTCCCAATTTCTTAATTATCATTTTTTCGGTTTTTCATTTCCTTAATTTTTTTCAATGTTTCTTTCATTTTTATAATTTGTCCTTTATTCAATTTTTCAAATTTTCATGTTTTAATTTTTCAATTCCTCCATATTACAATTTTTTAATTTTGAAATTTTTGGATTTCACGATTTTCTGATTCCTTTAATTTTCAATATTTCGATTTTGGAATATTTCGTTTTTTTGGCTTTGCACTTTTTCGATTTTTCAATTTTTCAAGTTTTTGATATCCAGTTTTTAAATTTTTCATTTTATACATTTTTGTTTTTCCATTTTTGATTTTTCAATTTTACATTTTTTCAATTTTTCAAAAAAAAGGAAAAATTCGAAAAACAAAATAAATCGGAAAATTGAAAATCCCAAAAACTGTAAAATCGAAAAATTATGGAATCGTCAAAATTATACAGTCGAAAAACTGCAACACGGAAAGATTGAAAAAATCAAAATCAAAAAATTGAAAAATTAAAATGTTTGAAAATCCAATAACTAAAAAATCAAAAAATTCCAATGTATAATTGGAAATGTAATATATCGTATTTAAAATAAAAGCGGAGAGACGGAAAAACTAAAAAATATAACTATAGAAAAATTTAAAAATTGTTCATTGAAAAAAAGAGAATTAAAAAAAATATATTATAAACATTGGAAAACCGAAAAATCGAAAAAATTACAAGTTAACAACTCGTGAAAGCACAAATCGAAAAAGTGAAATTCAAAAACTTGAAAATTGTAAAAATAAAAAAAACCAAATCGAAAAATTGCCAATTGAAAATTTTAAGCAATGAACAATTAAATAGTTGGGAAACTGAAAAATTAGAATTTGAAAACTCTAGAAATTTGAAATTTAAAACAAAATCTAAAAATCGAAATATCTAGAAGTTGAACAATCAAAATTTGAGTTTTCAGTTTTTTAGTTTTTTGATATTTAGATTTTTTAATTTTTCCATTTTTTGATTTCCAAATGTTTCGTCATTTCAATTTTTCAAATTTAATTCTCAATTTTTCAGGTTTGCGATTCTTCAATTTGCCGATTTTTCGTTTTTCGTTTTTTCATTTTAAATTTTAGATTTTAGATTTCTTGGTTGTTCAATTTTTCAATATTTTAATTTTTTATTTCGATTTTTCTTGTCGAGAAAAATCATTAAAAAATTCTTTACGTCATTCTGAGATTGACTTACAAAAACAAAATATCGACTTAGATAGACGAATCAAAAAACGTGAAAATTTAGCCACTGTCGTCAGATTCATCATAAATAAATAATTTTTAGGTTTTTTGTAATCTTATCAAATGAAGAAATCAAGATGCGTCCAAAATTATTTTGAATTGTGAAAGTCCAATGAAGGTTTTTCAATTATTCAATATTTTACTGTTTGGATTTCAATTTGTCGCTTCTTCCATTTCTTGATTCTCCAAATTTTCGATTTCTCGATTTTTTCATTTTTCGATTTCTCAATTTTCCAATGTCTTAATTTTACGATTTTTCAATTTTTCGACTTTTCAGGTTTTCGATTTTTCAGTTTTTGACGTCTCCAAATTTTCAATTTTTTGATTTTCAAATTTCTCGAATAATCGATTTTTTTAATTTTTCCATTTCCCGATTGTCGAGTTTTCAGTGCTTCGATTTTTCAGATTTCTATTCTTCAACTTTGCGATTTTTTTAAATTTTCGATTTTTCGACTTTTTATTTTGTCGATTTTTAAATTTTTCATTTCTTCGAAATTTCTATTTTTCAATTTTTCGAATTTGTAAATTTTTGATTTTTCAGTTTATTGATGGTTGAATTCGTCGATCATTTTAGATTTTTCAATTTTTCGATTCTTAAAATTTTTGATATTTAGATTTCTCAATTTTTCTGTTTTACAATTTTTTTATCAGTTTTTAGATTCGTTTCTCAATATTTCTCATTTCCTTAATCTTTTTCAATGTTTCTTTCGATTTTATAATTTTTCGTTCATTCAATTTTTCAAATTTTCAATCTTTAATTTTTCAGTTTCTCAATTTTCCAATTTTTAAATTTTTACAGTTGTGCAATTTTTCGATTTCTCGATTATCCGATTTTCTGATTTCTTTAATTTTCAATATTTCGATTTTACATTATTTCGTTTTTTTACACTTTTTCGATTTTTAAGTTTCTCAATTTTTAAGCTTTCGATTTTTCAATTTTTCAAGTTCTTGATTTCCAGTTTCTAGATTTCTCATGTTACACTTTTTCGGTTTTCCATTTTTGATTTTTCAATCGAAAAATGAAAATTCGAAAAACAAAAAAATCCGAAAAAATTAAAGAATCGAAAAATTGAAAAACCAAAAAACTGTAAAATCGGAAAAGCATCGTCAAAATTGAAAACCTGCAACATTGAAGGACTGAAAAATTGTAAAATTTAATTTTTATATATTTTTTTTGAATATGAAGAAACAAAAAAAAATCAAAATCGAAAAATTGAAAAATGAAAAAGGTTGAATATCCAATAATTGAAAAATAAAATTTTAAAAACTATAATTATTGCATATTAAAAATAAAAGCTATAAAAATTGCAAATTAAAAAGTGAAGGAACGGAAAATTGCAAAATCGAGAAACTGAAAAATCTAAAATTGCAAAAAACGAAAAATTAAAAAATATTAAAGTTGAAAAATTGCATATTGAAAAAAAAACTATAAAATCATAACATTGAAAAACCGAAAAATTCAAAACTCGTGAAACTGCAAATCGAAAAAATACAAAATTTAAAAATTGAAACACACAAAAGTTGTAAAATCGAAAAGCTGAAAAATTTAAAGTGAAATTAAAAAAAGAGCCGAAACGAAAAACTGCCAATTGAAAATTTGAAACACAATGAAAAATTAAAGAGTTGGAAAACTGAAAAAATGAAATTTGAAAACTCGAGAAAATTGAAATTAAAAATGCAAAACCTAAAAATTGAAATATTTAGAAGTTGGACAATCAAAATCTGAAAATTCTAAAATGAAAACACGAAAATTGAAAAAAAATCGAATTTTTGAGGACTTTTCTATTTCTCGTTGTTTCACTTTTTCGATATTAAGATTTTTTAATTTTTCCATTTTTCGATTTCCAAATTTTGCGATTCT